ACTTGAAAGGCTGTCACAAAGAGGATCTCTTCCAGGATCTCTTCTTGATCATCCCAGAGTGGAGGACACAGAATAATAGGCTCAAGTTACAGGAAACCAGATTCTGGCTAAATATCAGGAAAAAATTCCTGACAGTTAAAGCAGTACAACAATGGGACAAATTACCTAGAGAGGTGGTGGGCTCTGCCACACTGGAGGCATTCAAGATGCAACTGGACAGCCATTGGAGAGGACTGGTTTACCTGGGAGTCCTCCACTAACAGGGGTTTGGACCCAATAACTTTCTGGCCCCTTCCAACCCCACTATTGGATGATTAATTCAAAGAGAGACTGCAGCCAAGAAATTAAAAGAAAAGTGAGACTTGAAAGGGCAGCAATGAGGGAGCTAGAAAAGGTAATCAAATGTAAGCACACTTCACTGAAGACCAAGGCCATCACTATTGTATTCCTGATCACTATGTATGGATGGCTGTGAAAGCTGAAGATGAAGAAAGATGACTAGAAGAAAACTGATGCATTTGAAACATGGTGGAGATCTTTGCAAGTACCCTGTACTGGCAGAAAGACCAACAAGTGGGTCTTAGATCAAATCAAACCAGAGCTTTCCCTGTAAGCAAAAATGACAAAACCGAGGCTGCCATATGTTGGGCAAGATTCACTGCAGAAGACAATCATGCTAGGGAAAATCGAAGGCAGAAGAAGCCGAACTATGAGATGGACTGATTCCATAAATGAACCCACAGCCTTGAGTTTAGAACAGCTGAGCTGGGCTATCATGGATAGGTTGGTTTGGTGGGCTTTCATTCATGGGGTCACCATAATTCAGATATACCTTGATGAAAAATAACAACACCTTCTTGCAGATAAGGCATGTGTCTACCACTAAGCCATGGGTCATTTTACTGTATACTTTTGGATATTTGTATCTATAATGTTTCCAACAGCAGTAAAACAAAGGTATAAAGATACAACAAAGAAACTTGTTTCTAAACCCTCCTGTAGATAACATGGGGGCCAGCAGGCACCAATGGATGTCTGAACAACTTTCTTAGAATGCACCAAAGTGCTTTTTTCCCCCTCAGGGTTTTTTTTTTACCCCAGTACATACTTAGTTACTGACAACTGGAATAACTAATACATTTTTGTAAGTTCAAAGGAGTTGTTTAGTATGTTGAGGCCCTTGAGTCAGGGCAAACTGCAAGTAATATGCCTCAAAAACTGAGTGCAAGGTAGCTTGCGTGTTACTTGCAATATGTCATGACTTCCATGGCAGCCATTTTGTGGTGGTACCCAGGACAATCTCTCAACCCCTCCTTTTGAGTACTCCTGGGCCCTCTCCCTTGAAAAGGGCCCTTGTGGAGGCAATCAGGTCTGTACACCACCCCTCGAGTTGGCTAGTCCTTCTCTCCTAATGCCATGTCCAGGGATCAAGACTCATACCAGGCTTGTCTGGCTCCTGTCCCACTCCCCTTCCATCAGTTGCATCTCCTTGTTATTAATACCTGGAGAGGGCAATCTTGAGCTCAGCCCTTCCACTTCCCCTGTTTCAGTATCTGGTGGGGGGGGGGGAGGTGCCTGTTCCCAGGACCTCTTCTCCTCATCTAACTTGTCCATATCTGCCTGACCTTGGAACATGCACCAAGAACAACTGTCTTTTCATTCCCAACAACAATGGCTCAAAATAATTTTGCACCCAAGCTCCATCTCATAAGCGATTTAGTACATACTTGTTTCACATTTCAATCACACATTGGCATACATGGTGTAAATTACACAAAAAGTCCTCAATCCAGATGAGAGTGAACTCTGTATCCCTGAAAATGTTTAAAATACTAACTGATCCCAACAGTCAAAAAGAAAAGTTCAGAACACATCCTAACATTCATAAAAATGAAGAACACAGAACATAAATTACCATAACTTCTATTTCAAACTATATACTGTAAACACAACAAACCTGTTATAGTGTATTAGTGATTACAACTTAATATTCAAGCATCATTAGCTAATTCTGCACTGATATGTCTAAAGTTTCAGAAGAAACTAAATCTCTTTAAATTTCCTTTGCTGATGAAGGAAATTTGATAAAGGAAATTTATCAAATGCATCAATTATTACACTAAAGTACACACTGCTAGGTAATTCCTAAGACCTTTATACGTGAGAAACTATACTGTTGAACATGGAGAAGGACTGAAAGTGTAATTACAAAAATGTAGGTTATGGACGGGCAACTTGCATGCTAGAGCTGCATGGAGCTCTTGGCCTAATTACAAGAGCTCTATGCAAACTGTTAGTGTAGAACTCCAGCAAAATTGATCAGCCAGTTTCTTGACAGCCCACTGGGCAGGGAGTCAGAGACTCCAACACAAGGTAAAGTAATCCTCGTTAGTCAAGAGTGTCTGAATATGGGACCAGGAGACACCAGGGATGCCTTATAGGGATGTCTGTAATGTGGAGGAAGAAACATGATATTTAATGAGACTCAGAAGGAGAAGACTGCTCAGAGAAGATCTGTATCCTCTTCTAGCCTTTTCAACCTAGCTCAGTGTATCCAGAATGCAGAATATTTCAATTTCCCACTGAGCCTGCAGCTGTTACATTCCACATCAGACTACCCAAGTAAATATAATTTATATTTTCAACTTGGATATGAGACCACCCACATAGACCAAGGCAGCTGGAAACACCACCTACATTAACAATTGTAAGCATTCCCACTGCCATCAAGCCAGCTATTTGTGGAAGGCATTATGTGGCAGCCCTATCTGTCCCCTGTCCTAAGTGTTATCTACTCCACTCTTGAGTTGGTCCAGGAGGATGGTACTTCCAGAGCAATTTTCCTCTTTTGTACCCTTGAGATGTGGTCATGTAATTTGTAGGCTAGACAACAATTACACAGCTGGAACAATCAGAACAATTGTTCTGGAAAACTTAATATGACTGAACACGATTAGAACGCATTTATTTATTTAGCATTACAATAATTTATTGCAATACAGTGGTACATTGGCTCACAAACTTAATCTGTTCCAGGAATCCGGTCGTGACCCAAATTGGTCGTGAGCCAAGTCAAATTTCCCCATAAGGTTCAATGTAAATAAGGTTAATCTGTTCTATAACCATTTTTAAAATCAGAAAAATGTGAAGCAAAGTGACAACAACAAAGATCGCGGCCATCTCCCCCCCCCCCACCCCAAGCACAAGCACAGCCATCTCCCTGACCTCCCACCCCCAGCATGACCAAGATAGTGCCTGTCATCCCTGCAGGTGCCCGTCATCCTAGCACGCGCCCATCATCCCGGTGTGCTGGGGAGTGGGGTGGAGAGATGGGCGTGATTGCGGGTGCACTGGGGGAGGAAGAGACGGGCACGATCTTGGCCATCTCCCTCCCGCCCCCAGCATGATCGCGGCCATCTCCCACTCGGGTGGGGTGGGGAGATGGCCATGATCGCAGATCCGTTCATACAGGGAAGGTGTGCCTGATCAGAGGTGCGCTCCTGCATGAAAGACAGGAGGAATCTCAGCCATCTCCTGCATGGCTCTGCTTTGCTGCTCCCGTCTTTCCTGCAGCAGCACGCCTCGGTTCTCACACGCCTTCCCTGCACGAACGGAACTGCGATCATGGCCATCTCCCCACTCAGGGAGGGGGGGGGAGAGGGCTGTGATCTTGGTCACCACCAAAGTGGTGTTCGTGACCCAAGTCAAAATTTTTCAGAAATTTTTGTTTGTGACCTGATTTGCTCGTGAACCAAGGCATTCGTGAGCTGAGGTACCACTGTACTAAATAATTTACTTATTGTTGTGCAAAATGTGTATTGTAATACTTTCAGGACAGAAATTTCTTTAAATCACCATTGGAAAACATCAACAACTATTAAAAATCACAACTAATAATCTAAAAAACAAACAAGTAATCAAAATGCTTCCCAAAGGGCATATGGTAAAAGACGGTTCTGCTGGGATAGGGAAGCTGGAAGAGACTCTAAAGTAACATTTGCTTGCCCCCTTTTCTTTCCAGGTTCCTTCATACAGGGTGGATAGTGGCAGATAGCCCTGTAGGGAAATAGGGTGGTTCAACTGGAGCAGAATCTGAGATTGCCTTTTTGTGCCTGCTTCCCTTTCTCTTCTGGGATTCTACCCACAGAGCATTTGGTGGCAACGGCTCTGTGAAGGAAGATGACAGTCTAGTTGGAGCAGGCTCAGTAGGGTGGTCTTCATCTGCCTGTATCCCTCAAAGCAGGCAGCAGTAGATGGCCAAGTGGGTCCAGCTGGGACAGGCTTCTTAGTTAGTTATACCCCACCTTTCATAACTTTCCTACCAAATGCAGATCTTTCCAAAGTGGCTTACAAATAACATTGTATAACATATAAAAATGTATGTTGTACTGATGACTCTGCTGCTACTACATTAGCACTGTGCTGTCCAGATAAATGTCTGTGGTGTTAAAGGAGTTTCTGGGTTATTAAATGAAGTGGAACAACCTTCTATAGTTAATTGCTTTGCTTTTTATTCATTTATTTTCAATGATGTATAGATTGCCTTTAAGGGTAGAAACTTCTTATGGTACTAATGATTCTGCCTGGTTTGTGGCTCAGGGTGCTCTATAACAAATGGTTTACATTCATGCCAAACTTCATGCCACACTGAATACAGAACTTGTACAGGAAATATGAAAACAATTGCTCAGGTTTCTGCTACTGTTGCCTCAGGGCCTGGACTAGGTGTTGGGAGAATTCTTGTATGCTTAATCCCCGTTCTTCAAGTCAGGCATGGCAATCTGGTCAGCCTGCTTTTAGCTTTTCACTTAGATTTTCTCTCACTCTGTAATAAAGGAAGACTATGGCTGAATATGCATATCCAATATTGCAGGTTATACACTAATTTCCAATTTACCATTTCTGAGGAAATTTGTATATGCTGGTGACTCCGTTGAAAACAATACTGGATGACAAAGGTTATCTTAATCCCTATCTGTCTTTTTTCAGATCTTACTTACTCTTGATGCATCGTGCAAAGTTCAGCAAGTTTGCTTAACTCTTCATTATTCAGCCCTTTAGAAGAATTCTTTAGATCTGGGGCCTCATTAGATGCTGTTGCTTTCCATTTTTTTTCTGTATCAATACACATCAATACACAAGTTAGATCATTCATATATTTAAAATGTGCTAATGTCTTCAAAGGCAACTTTTGAAAATATACTCCAGCCCCATTCATTAGATTCAAAATAAATGAAAAACAAATGTTATAGCACAGAATAACTAGACTAGTCTATTAAAAACCCACAATCAAATTGAAAATAATGATGTTGCTTTTCATGAAAATGAGCTCAGAGATCAGTTTTATGGAGCAGGAAATTTCGCAGTGGTTTCTTTTTTCCCCATGGAAAATTTCATCGGCTCATTAGTAAAAATGAAAGTATGCCAATTGCAAATGTAGTATTAGGCAAGCTTGGCTATTTGAAAGTTGTAATTAATTGTTTTCAAGTGATTATCCTTAACAATTATGTGAGATAATACATATATACTTCAGAGTGACATGGACTAATAAATAGGGTCAGAAAAATTGAAGGTGTCTCAACAATCTTAGAAAAGAGTTGAACTTTGTTGGAGTAAATACGTGATTGTCAACATCTAATACATGTTTATTTAGGTTGCTAAAATGTATGTGTCAACAGTTTTCAGTATCCTTGTTTTGTGCTTAATTAAAGAATGTAAGGTAGGTACATGCAACTAAAGTTTTTACTAATGTTTCAAAAAAGTCTATGTACCATAATATTTAGGTCATTTTAAATGCACTTTAATTTCCCTCCTCAAATATTACGAGTCAAAAACTGTGGTGTGTTGGGACAAAAAGTTAATATGGGGCACATTTTAAAAGTATAGTTTACTAAATACCAATGAAATGGGCATATTAAGGGCATGGGCAGAAAACTTGTAGACTTCCAGGTGCTTTAATCACAGCTCCCTCAGCAATAGCCAGCATAGCCAATAGTGAGGGCTGATGGGAGCTGTAAGCCAAAACATATGGAGGGCCACATCCTAGGCTACTTGTCCCAGGCTATCAGAAAAATTTATAATGCAAACTGATTTCCTCTTAAAATGATGAAATATTAATTAACCTAAGTTAGTCACATTGGAAGATTTTTTAAAAAAAATTTCCAATTCAAAAATTTTCAGAAAACCCAAATCACTGTGAGAAACACACAATTCTATTCCAATAACCTTTATTACTCAGAATATACAATATTATAGAAACATGCAACATGCAAATTTATTCTATTATAATAAAACCAGAACAGATTTTTCAACTTTTCTAACAGGCAACTTTCCACAATATGACACCCTTACCCCACTGCTGCTGAATAGAAGAAAGATTTGCAAGCAGCTGTTCATGATATAACCGTTCAAGCTGAATAAACTTCATGGCTTTCTCATCTGAAGGGACAAGTAAAGAAAAATACAGAAACAGCAGTGGCCTGGGCTTCACGGGCACAAGAATCAACTCTCAATTTTCCTCTTACAGTCAACACTATGCATCTAAACAGTTTTCCTTTTTTGGGCAAATAGCTAAGCATTATGGAATGGGACTTTCCATCAGCAATTTAATACAATCAAGTGCCACCTGACAGAATTTCCTCAAAAGTCCAAACTCGAAAATACAAAGCTACTATTTAGTTCGTCCTATAAAGTTAAATGCTTCCAAAAGTTTGGTTGCACATCTACAATACTGTGGGGGTGGGGAACCAGGAAATGCTACCACTATAATTAATATCTAAAAGAAAAGAGCACAAGGGAAAGCCAAAGCAACTACAAACATTATGTACATTCTGCATACCAGAGTGTAAAGATCAGAATATAAAGATTTAAGTACATGAAAAATTGTGCATCTGAACTTCTCCAATGTCCTTGTCCAACCACTCGTATTGGAAGCTTCTCTTAAAGCTTCTCCCCAAATTTAGCAACAATTTGCCAACCACTGTGCACTGCTATAATTTAACAAAACAAAACAAAAAAGAAGTGAGAAAAGGGGGTGTGGTTAAGAAGCCAAAGGTCTTCCAGAAACTCTTTCCCCCATACTTGGATCCTGGTTTGTATCAAAAAATACGATAAAATACAGTGTACTGAACACTGCATTCAGAAACAGGCTAATATAAATGCAATAGAAAGTTCTGCTACATTAGTCTGGCAAAGGATGAGGAAAACACTGACTCTGTTATGCAAGATATAGTTAGAGCAAGTACATGCACATTAATGAGAAAGCCCAGTGTTCACAGGTCAACATATGTGAAATCATTACAATGTTCCTTCAGAGTTCTTACAACAGTTTCTGCAGACATTTAAGAGAAGGATTTAGAACTCATATGCATCCACTCTAGAATGAAGAAATCAGTATAATCACACTTGTGGATAATCTTAACTTCTTTGGCTTTACCCTGACCACTAACTGAGAACTTTTAGTCATATGCTTTTTTATAGTGGTTAAGAGCATGGGACTGGGACTCAGAGGATCTGGGTTCGAGTCCCCGCTCAGCCATGGAGCCAACTGGGTGACTTTGGGCCAGTCAGACTCTCAGCCCAACCTACCTCACAGGGTTGTTGTTGTGGGGATCAGATGGAGGAGGAGAATGATGTAAGCTGCCTTGAGTCCTTTGTAGGAAAAAGGCAGGATATAAATTAAAAAAAAATAAATAAAAAAATAAAAAAAATAATAAAATATTTGGATTCTTAAAAGGATACATTCCCCATCATGGAAATAGGTTTCAGCCATCTATAAAAGAAAGTAAACAAAGTGCTTAATGTTTTTGCAAATAGCTCAGCAGGGATGCCTTTTGGAGGGCTTTCATTCATAGGGTTGTCATAGATCAAAGATGACTTGATGGCATATAACAACAACAATATATTTAAATTTATTATGCAATATTGATACATAATATTGTGTATTAACATAACACACTGTGAGAAATGAAATGTAACTAAGTGTTAAGGGTGAAAAACAGGAATAGGACAGGATCACTGAAGTCTCTTGGGGCCAAGAGGCCTGAGAATAGAATCATGTAAATAAGTTGTACTAAGAGTAATAGTGTTTTTTTACATCAAAGTATTGAAAAATACCAGAGAGGGTAAAAGTGTGTGGGGGGGGCAGTGGTAAAACTGTCACCTTCAGTGGAGGAAAGCAGGCAATGGATTACTTTATAACGGGAGGTAAAGAGTCTGAAGAAAGGCCTGTTCTCATTATCTCAAACTCCCCATTTTGATTTAAGGAGCAAATTGGCATCCAAGAAGAATTCTCAAGGCCATTTTGACTTTTTGAACTTTTAGGCCTAGTGCGCAAGCTTAATAGGTTTATGAATAGTAAATGACACACTTCTCATAGGTAATAGGCTCATTAGCATGCACATGGGTTGTATGTGCAAGGGGGGGGATCATATTAAGGGGCAGTATATAGTAGGCAGATGGAAAAGATTGTGCCCTCTGAGTAGCCCAGCCAATGAGAGAAAAGAGGTAGGGTCTGCGAGCCGGGGAAAGGGATAAAGGTGAATGTTGTGTGTGTGAACGGCGCGCTACCTCTGAGGTGGGCGCCCACTCTTGCAAGAACGAATTAAACTTTTCTGCATGGTACTTTGCCTCCCTTATAGTCATTGCTTGGATTCTATTGGATATATATTTTTTATATCTCACAACGCTAACACACTTTGCATCACCTAGTGGAAGATAGCCATTCTGTACTGAAAATCTGGTAATATATTGTGAGCCAGGGTACAATTAATCTGAATATTTTTTTCCCCACAAACACAAAACCTTCCCCAGAGTCTATGTAAAATGTACATGAATAGAGCATACTATTCTGGATCATGGCAAGTCACTTTGCACAATTTGGAATATGAGATTAGAATTGGCAATTTTGTTTTGGAAACAGTAACAGAAATGAAATCCTAGGCACATTTACCTTGGAGTAAGCCCTATTAAATACAGTGGGAATTACTCCAGAGTAAACATTACTGAGTTGCACTGTAAGTTTGTTTGTTTATTTATTTACTAGATTTCTAACCTGCCCTATTAGCCGTATTGCTCGCTGGGTGGGTTACAACAACAAAATAAAATACAGAGTAAAATACAATATAAAACAACAATTACAAATAAAAAAATAAAACCAATATAAGACGCACAAAACTGATGACATACCCATAGTTAAAATGCTATTTACAACAAGTTAACAATTAAAATACAGTTGAAATGAAAAGGTTTTCACCTGGTGCCTAAAAGAATGTAAAGAGGGTGCCATCCTGTCTGGGAAGCTTGTTCCAGAGTGAGGATGCCACTGCAGAAAAGGTCTTTCTTTGTTCCATTGTACTTAATATTTATCAGAGAATCAAATACATCTAATACAATCCTGAGAGCTAACTTTTTTCTTGCCCACACCAAAGAAAACAAATACTTGGAAATGCTCAACTAAGACTTCTAAGGCATCTTAAATACTAACATATGGTGGTATAAAGTTTTGCAGGTCAATATACATTTCTCCATGGGCTTTGGCTGACAAAAGTTTATGTCACAATTTATTTGCCTATGTTATACTGCCACAACAATATGTTGCTTATTGCAACATCACATAACATGATGTCTCTGCTTGAATGTGTGAATACTGAATATTCTAACTGACACCATTAAGCTATTCTACATCATTTGCAATTTCATAGTCTTCACTGTACACTCTTTTGTTTGCAATCAGATGAACCCATTTCGATTACATGCGACATTCTGGAATTTAACATTTTATTCTACTTTCCAGAAATATATGAGAAAAAAGGACTCTAGTATTGAGCTACTGTATCCAATTCCAATAGGAAATTGATCTATACTGTAGAATTCAAGCTGTAAAGGAACAACAGCATCAAAAATAACACAGAGAAAACTACACAGATATTCTCACTACCTGATGGAGGCATATGGGCAGCACTCGTGAATTCAACTGATCAAATTCTTCTTGAAGATGAGAGAAGAGGGCTTGCAAAGTCTGGTTTGAATCCTTTTGTGGACAGTTTGCATTTGTCTTGTCTCCATCTTCACCTTGTGTACAAACTGTTGTTTTAATATCAGTCTTCTCTCGCTTGGCCGTGGAAAAATCTAAAGAAAACAAATGTGGTCCTTCTTTAAAAAATAAAGCATCTCAAAAATATGTAAACACATCAGATTGCATTCAAACAGGCACAACCAGAGATCTGCACCTTCTTTCTGCTGTCAAGCCACTCTAGACTATCAGGGTCTCTCAGGAAAAGCTTTTTAGGGCTGCAGTAAAACTGTAAGATCAGGAAAGAGAAGACTGAGTGGAAGACCTGATATTACTCTATAAGTACCTCAAAGGCTTTCACAAGGACAGAGGGGGCAAGATCTCTTCTTGTTGATACCATATTGTAGGACGCAGAATAATCAAGTCAAGCTGCAACAACCCAGATTCAGGTTAGGTATCAGGAAAAGCTTCCTTACTGTCAGAGCAATGTGACAGTGGAAGCAGTTGCCTAGAGATGTCATGGACTCTTTCACACTAGGGATTTCCAAAAAGAAATTGGAGTCATCTGAGTGGGATGGTGTAAATTGGCAACAGCAGAGGCTGGACCTGATGGCCTTCTTGGCCCCTTTCAACCCTAATATTCTATGATTCTATGGAAGTCTCACTGCAAAAGCAGACCTGTTTGTCACATCGAACTAAAATCCATATCAAAACATCCAGGCACATAGCCAATAAACATGTGTTATATAATTTAACTTTAAAACATATCCTTGAGCTATTTCATTTGAAGTTTTCAAACAATCTTCATTGCTCAGGAATGAGAGTAAAGAGATAGTTTCTATGTCTCAAAGAAACTGATCCCATATAAGTTACCTTTAATTTCAAGGTTTCTTGAATAATTATCAGAGGATATCCTTAGCTGTTATTAATAAAGAACACCTTAAAACAATTTTAAGGCTTTTACAAATGCAAACTCATTCAGTTACAATAGATGCACAACATACTAGTAGGAGGCCTCTTCTCCACAGAGTGATTTCCTTTATGGAAATTCATATTTAGTGCAAATTATCTATGTATTATGAAAAAGTAATCCAGGAAGTGAATAAAATATATTGTTTAAAACAGGGGTACTTCATCTTTCTGGGTTAGTGAACATATTTGGAATTCTGAGAGTAAGTTTGGGTATTCTGAAATAATGGCTGCCATGAGAAATTTGCCTGTTGGGAAAGATAACTTGCCTGAGAACCTAACTAAAATGCAGAGAGGGGCTGTGAACTCCAAAACACAACACCACTCTTTTAAATGTACTTTTTCCTGCTCCAATACCCATTTCACTGAAAGTAACCTGTTGAAACTAAGAGGTATGTAATTTGGCCAAGAAACTGTCAACAAGACAGAGTGGGTTTTATTCTTGAAGGAGGCCTAAAAATGACTCCAAATGCCCAAAATATCTCCACTTAAAAAGCAGAATGTAATATCCATTTCACTGAAGGCAAACTGGTAAATAAAAAAATAAAAACATGCAAAAGGAGGCAAAACGCCCAACCACCCATTTGGCTACATTTGGGACCACAAAGACATTTCATTAGCTAGAGCAGTTCTCTTGTTTATGTTTTCGTATGTCCATTCACTAAGCTATATTTAGACAAAATGTTAGAAACTTTAATACCTTATACAGAACTAAAGAATCCTTATTCTCTTTGATGGAATTTTCTGATACTTAAAAGTCTACAGTCTTTAAACACAACTATTTCTTAGCAACTGTGGAGGTCCTTTCCTTTCTGTATCCCAGCATATACCACTGATCATCAGTTCTGAATGCCACATTGAATCCCTTCAAAATCACTAGTTTAATCTTCAGCTTTCCACATGTTTAACAGAGATTGAAATATCTCATTTCCTTTATTCATGTAGTATTTATCTAAATAAATATACAGCACTGTTAAACATGTAATTCATTTATATAAAATACAGTTAATTTGAAAAGCAACACTTTCAACAAATCACCTCAGGATGTTATGATCAACGAACTGGCTAAAAGTGAGCTTTATGGAACAACTATCAGGTGGATAGTTGACTACAGAACTGAACTCAGAGGGTACTTCTCAATGGCACCTTCTCAGGCTGGGGAGAGGTAGCACGCGGGGTACCGCAGGGATCAGTTCTAGGCACAGTACTTTTCCAAGTTTTTATTAAGGATTTGGATGAAGAGGTGCAGGGAATGCTGATCAAATTTGCAGATGACAGAAAATTGTGTGGGATAGCTAATACCTTGGAAGACAGAAACAAAATTCAAAGTGATCTTGATAGGTTGGAATGCTAGGCTGAAAGCAGAACAATGAAATTCAGTAAGGACAAATGCCAAGTTCTACACCTAGGAAAAGGAAACCAAATGCGCGCGCGCACGCGCGCGCACACACACACACACACAAAGGATCTCGGAATTGTTGTAGATTATGGGTTGAATATGAGTCCACAATTTTATATGGCTGCAAAAAAAGCTAATGTTATTTTAGGCTGCATTAACAGAAGGATAGCTTCCAAATCATGTGAGGTACCAGTTTCCCTCTATTCTGCACTAGTTAGGCCTCATTTCGAGCACTGTGTCCAGTTTTGGGCACCAAAGTTCAAGAAAGATGCAGACAAACTGGGAAAAGTTCAGAGGAGGGCAACAAAGATTATCAGGGGACTAGAAACAAAGCCCTATGAGGAAAGACTGAAAGAGCTGGGCATATTTAACCTTGAGAAGATTGAGGGAAGATATGATGGCACTTTTTAAATACTTGAAAGGCTGCCAAACAGAAAAGGACCAAGATTTCTTCTCCATCACCCCAGAGTGCAGGATATGGAATAATGGGCTAAAGTTGCCGGATGCCAGATTTCCTGACTATTAGAACAGTATGTCAATGGAACCAATTATCTCGGGAGGTTGTGAGCTCTCCCACACTGAAGGCATTCAAGAGGCAGATGGACAGCCATTTGTCAGAGGAGCTTTAACTTGCAATCCTGTACTGAGCAGGGTTGTACATGGTGGCCTTATAGGCTCCTTCTAATTCTACTATGCAATGATTCTATGAAAGGCATCTTAAACTATGGAATATGCTCCCAGGAGAGGTTTGCCTGGCGCCGACATTCTATTCTTTTCAACATTAGGCAAACCCCTTTTTCTTTTCCTGTTATTTTAATGTTTAATTGATTTTAATTGGGGTTTTAGTATATTAATGATTGGATGCTGTGGGACTGTTCTATTCTATTTATTTATTGTAGGCCATTCCGAGACATTCTGTGGGGGATGGGATAGAAAAGCTTTTAATAAATAAACAAACAAATAAAACAGATACACTCATTCTTTATTCAAACAAAGGAGTCTAGCAGGCCATTAGCTTTATACAATACTATGGTGAAGCAAACAGGCAAGGCCCTTTGTATTTTCAATTTAATGCTGGAGTTATGGACCAAGAAATATCTGACCTGCTATTTTGATTTTTCAAAGATGGCCACAGAAGTCAAAGTAACTTCTCTATATCTTAACCAGTTTATTAGTAAGGTTAATGCATGTATTCTGTTTGGCTAAAAATGTACTTACCTTCAGCAACATACATTCTTGACAATTTCTGCAAATGAAGCTTTACAACACCAATGGAAAAGAGAACATTTCTAGTACTTCGTTACAGTAGTCTAGACACATTACAACTTCACATAAAGGGAAGTTACTTTCCTTCCTGTATCCTCCTATTAAGGTGGGTTATTTTCCTCCTCCACCTCCTCTCTGGGCAAGATCCCTTCTGTTCTCTGCTTCAGTTACTTTCTCCCCTCTACCACGCGTGCATGGAGAAAGACAGAAAGGTAAGAGAGCAAAGGCATGCGCCAAACATTTTGTGACTGGTTATACCCTACAGCAGCCATTTTCCTAAAATTTCAAATGTGTCCCTGGGCCCCAAAATGAAAGCTTTAATAATGCACCCATGTTTCAATAAACTTAAATTATTATATTAAACTATAAACTATAGTCAACTTCCTAGTAATTGGAAGGCTTTTAATTCTTACTGGCCACATTTTCTTAAATAATGTTATTTTAAACATGAACACTAAATGGCAAACCTCCTTATTTCAGTCCTTTTTGAAGGCTTTTTGTAGGGTATGGGACACGAGATAACATGGATGGAACCAGTGGTAAGGCCCTTCACTCCCCCTTCACATGATGTTAATTACCTGAACATCATGGATTCCTGTATGAGTAAAATGGGGTTTTTGCTTGACACCTCCAGCAACTTCGTGTTACATCAGCCTATCTCCAAAATTTCATAGCTGAATGTGCATGAACAGGTGGGGCTCAGTGGCCTGGCAAAGAGTGATGAGATCCTTGAAATCTGGATTCAAAACAAACTACAAGCAGAAAGCAGTATCTAAATGTGATGGCTCTAGATCAGTGGTTTTCAACTACTGGTCTGCAGACCAGTGCTGGTCTGTGGGAGATTTCCTGCTGGTCTGTGGAGGCCCACATCCCATTCACTGTGTACCAGTGTAGGGGTTGGTTGTGCTCCACCATCTCTTCCTTGGTTGGCATTGCATTCAAGGGGGGGTGGACTGGTGCTGTGGGGATGGGGGAGACAGCTTGATGGGAGCCGGCTGGGAGTAATGCTGTGCCGACTTTGGTTTTTTAAAATTTTTGTTGGCATTTTTTGTTGCTTGGTTTCTGGTTGTTTTGGAGAATTTTCTTTTTTCTGATTTGGTATTGTGTTAGGAAACTAATACACAAAATACTGTAGTATGTGTGTGGTGCTTTTTGTTTCTGCCTCAGCAGTCCCTGAGGTTGTTTTCCTGTTTTTGCTGGTCCCTAGCTGTGGAAAGGTTGAAAACCACTGCTCTAGATAACAAGAGCAAATAGGCAAGCCTCAGGCTACATGGTCATTCAAATACATATTACACACAAGTATGCACTATGCTGTATTTAAAGAAAATTAGGTCTTTTAGGAACTCTTGCTCTTAAATAAATCTCTTTTTGAACTCAGATGGGAGACAAAAGTAGCAAGGATTCCAGGAGAGCTGAAAAATGACAGATGCAAGCACACCATCCTGGCTATCTAGAAACATGTCTGGGACTCAACATGCAGTGACCTTTAATTTTGTTAAGGACTAAAAGGCAGAGAGAGTAGTATTCACTTTAAAATTTCCTTTGCTTTATGGCATAAAAAGCAGTATATTGTATGTAACATATTGGGAAGGAAGAGTTAATATGAATTCCTTGGATTGAACTGATTTCATTTGGGTATCAGGACAAACTTGTACAGCACTACCACTAGGACAAGACAATACAGAGATGTGCTGCTCAACACAACACTGGCTTATTAATTTACTCATTGTAAACATGGCACTGTCTTAACGTGCCTTGTAGTTGTTAGTTGCGAAGTCATGTCTGACCCATTGCGACCCCATGGACAACATTCCTCCAGGCCTTCCTGTCCTCCACCATCCCCTGGAGAACACTTAAGCTCACGCTGACTGCTTCCTTGACCCCATCTAGCCACTTCATTCTCTGCCATCCTCTTCTTTTGCTGTCAATTGTTCCCAGCATCAGGGTCTTTTCCAGTGAGTCCTTCCTTCTCATTAGGTGGCCAAAGTATTTGAGTTTCATCTTCAGTAACTGGCCTTCTAAAGAGCAGTCAGGGTTGATCTCCTCTAGGACTGACTGGTTAGATCGTCTTGCAGTTCAAGGGACTTGCAGGAGTCTCCTCCAGCACCACAATTCAAAGGCCTCAATTCTTCGGTGCTAAGCCTTCCTTGTGGTCCAACTTTCACAGCCATACATTGCAACTGGGAAAACCATAGCCTTGACTATACGCACTTTTGTTAGCAGGGTGATGTCTCTGCTTTTTAGTATGCTGTCTAGATTTGCCATAGCTTTCCTCGCCAGGAGCAAGCATCTTTTAATTTCTTGGCTGCAGTCCCCATCTGCAGTGATCTTGGAGCCCAGAAAAATAAAATCTGTTACTACCTCCATTTCTTCCCCATCTATTTGCCAGGAAGTGATATATCTACAAATAAAACTGTACTACTTTCATATATAAATAACAGATATAATATGTCATGCATTTTGTGAACATCAAACTCAGATTAAAGAGAATGACAGGTTAAATAGTAAAAAAAGAATAACTTACCTTCCTAATAAAACTGATATTTATTTAATTTATTATTCCTAATTAGCCTAAATCTAGGGCAATGCAACCCTATAGGAGCATAGAAATCATGTTTATTTTTTCAGACTATGTGAATATTGTTTAAAGTTGTACGAACACAACACAGAATGCTGAGTCAGTCATCCATTGATCAGTATTCTTACATTTAGTCAGAGGGGCTGACACAATGTGGTTACAGACACACTCAAGATATCATACTGGATTTAACTTCTTCCTAGAAAGAGCTCTCCAGACTTTTCTATACATCAGGAATCAACCCGTGGTGAATCCAAGCAAACATACCTTTCTAAGTACTAGTAACTGCAGGTCTGGATATTATTGGCTTCACAGAGAGCTAAGCAACTACAAAGTTTGTTATTGATTTTCATAATGACGTTTCAGGATCCTGAAACTTCCTTAGGTTGTGGGGGTGATCCTACTACAGCCCACCACTATAAATTTCCATATATCTTCAATACTTGGTCTTTTAGGTTGTTCTTAATCACAAGAATTGATTGAAATGCAAAATACTTTTCAACAAATAGTCTGAAGCTACCGCTGATGAACATTCAAACACCACCTAAACCCAGGATGGAGGTGTGCTTTCACTTTTTCTCTCTGTGTCAATGGCTTTCCTTAACATCTAACTGTGAAAACAACAAACATTTCAGGAAGTGTGGATATAAAGAACCTAGAAAACTGAAGCAGTCTATGGTTATCAGGAGCAGGCAACTTGATAGCCCTCAAATGTTTAGGACTACAATACCCATACATCCAAGTCACATGGTCAGTAATTAGAGATTATGGACATAATAGTCCAAAACACTTGGTGAGCATTACAGAATAGGGTAAGTTCCTGAACAAATATAGACTAAATTATTCAGGCTTATGCATGAGAACCTGTCACTGGTTAGGTCTCCCCTATGCTGACTATAACCACTTTTGTAGTAACTGCATCTTTTCCCTCAGTTTTCCATTTTCTTTTAGATATCACAATCTTCAAAGAGAAAACTTCTGACAGTACATTCAAAATCCTCAAATGGAACATCTAAGGAGCTGTAACTGTATTGCCCCTTTCTGATTTTTTTGCATTCCAGATTTGTGGAAATGTTTGTTGTGGCTGTTGCTGTTCCTGTTGTTGTTATTTTTGGTGTGGCTGCTGAGTTCTTTTCCACTAACAGGGCTAAATGGAGGCAGGGGTGACAGGGACATACACAGATGTCATGGCTGCATCTGTCCCTGCCAAAAATCCCTTATTAGGCCTTTTAAAGTTTTAAAAGGAAGCATGATTGCTGTCAACTGTCGAAACTCCATAAATGGGTTGGCATGTGCTTTTCCACTTTTCTGAGCACCTAGAGTTTTGGAAAAGAATGGAAAAGGGAGGGCATTGAGAATAGCCAAGTTCAACCCAAAAACAGGAGAGGGTGTGATTTATAAGCTGGGGAAATAAAAATCCCCTTGCAGCTTCACTTCTTACTTGCACAATTCTGATCTATAAAACCCTGTGCTCAATAATAAGAATTTACAAATAACTTTGTGCAGCTCTTGTACCCAAAGGGAAAAAAGCAGCAAACCAGTGACAGTCACTCCACAGTGTCACTTGTGCACTTTGAAAGGCCTGTCAGAGGTAAAACTTCAGAGATCAAAAAGGCAATTTTCGTCCAAGAAAGAAAGACAAGGTTAAAACAGGACAAAAAATACTTCAGTGACTGTAAAAGGGGTTGGCGTCAGTGTAGGGAGAGAAGTTCAGTCACATTGCAGAGTCCCATGGGACACCTTTGGGTGAGGAGGCAGATGGGGGAAGAAGTGGGGACAACCCATGGTGAATCCAACCATCTGTTGGCTGCATGAACACTTCACACTGCATCATTAATTTGCAGGATGGCTTGTTGTGATGTCTGAATATGATCTATGTCTCATTTTGTTTTCTATGAAAATATCTTGCATAACATATTGCTGCCTTTTTTTACCAAATCAGGCACAGACATGTCCTTAAAATAATGGGGGAAAACACTTAATTTTTCACTTTGATGTAATTGAGTTTTGATTGCAGGATGAGAATCAACTGAGGGACTGTGAAAATAAACTACAGCTTGTTCTGTCATCTGCCAGATGCACAGGGCTATAAACCTCTGAAACAAGTAACTATCATCTATTTTTTCAACAGATCATATGATCTTATGCACTAAGATCCTACATAATCTTGTGAATATACGAAGCTTATGCCATTAAGTTGTTTTCTTTCTTACAAACAGCATAAGCCTCAAGCTAAGATGCTCTCACTACAATGGAGTAAAACCAAATTTAGTTTTAACAACATCTACCATTTGCTTAGCATGAGTATTACTTGCTGCAGTTTTCTTTGAACAGAAGTTTCCTGTAGGTCCCACTATTCAGACACACAATGCCAATACTCTTCACTGGAGTAGCAAGATGGAGGTGCAGTAGTTGTGACCATGTTCTCCCCCCCCCACCCCCGGAGCAATCACATCACAAGGTAAGAAATCTATATTACTTTTGCATTTTGATTTCAGACCTGTGCTGCCACATGATGAAACTGAAGGCCAAACATGAAAGTTTGTTCTAAAAATATATACAGATCTATTTGAATATATTTACAACTGTGTTAATGTACCTTTGTTTTATATATGTATACAAATATATGAGCTATGCAATAGCCCTCTAAATCCATTTTTGTTAAAGCCCAAGTGTTCACAGCATGCTTTTTTCAGCAATGACTAGCCTATCAGTATCTAAATTATTTTTATTTATGTTAATATTTATATACTGCCCCTTTTCCATAGGTTCATAGTTAATCCTTAGTCATCCTTTACAAGCTGGAGTCTGGTTCACATCTATCCGCTATCAACCCAGTTCTATTATTTCCAAAACTTGCTGTGTGCATATACTGTTCTCTCAACACTTATTGTCTTTAAAGAAAAAAGTGAGAAAAGGCTTAAAGTATGACATTAATTATGAATCATGCGATATACATACTTTCCACCCTATTATTAGTTTCCCAGACTTCTCATGAGCACTGGTTTCACAGAAAATTACCAGATACACAAATTCTCATCGTTCCATGGTCATGGTCCCCAATGACCTTAATATCACTAAAAATTCCACCTTGGCATATTACCCAGCTGGGAGCAATTAATATTGCAGTGTACCATGCAAATTCCACTCAAAAGAAGAAGAATAGATAATAAGCCATGGAAGGGAATAAGACATTCTTTTTTTAGCATATGAGTTATTCAAGCCTGGGATGTAGGATTAGATGGGAAGGTTGGACAGCTGGACACATTTGAGTCTAGTAAGACTGTAAACAGCTACACTTAATGTGATTAATGTGAAGGAGACTAATTCAGAGAATTAGAGCAAACAAAATTTGTATGTGTTTAGGAAACCACTATACCTTTCCCACTGGAGCCTTTTATTTTCATTGAACTCTTTTTTTCAGAGGCACATTTTTCTAGAATGAGCATAGCATCTGTAGTAAAACTTGTAGATGGCTTGTCACTTTCATCTTCTTGGCAACATGATGTGTAGTCTCCACTGTCCTCATTATTATTTATGCTATCCTGCTCAACTCTTCCCATTGTATCATCACTGCTTTTCAGGGCATTGGGCTTGCTGCCATTAAGCTGATTTTCATTTTCATCTGGAGAAGAAGCCAAGCAAGTTTTGATCTTTGCTAAGTGTCCATCGGTATGAAGCAGGTCTTGTAAATTTAACTGCAGGTCATCTGTGGGAGATTCCCCGTCATCCATTAGAGCGTTCCCACAGTGAACTTTATGTCCAGTTTGCCCAATTGATTCTCAGCTCTAAAACAGACAAGTATCAAAGTCAAGTATTAACCAAACAATGATATCACTTATACCAGAGGATCTCAACCTTTCCTTCACCATAGACCCTCTTTAAATACCTTTTGTGGCCATGGACCACCAAGACTGAACTCAAGATTTAAAGCACTAGACTGCAGCAAATATTTATTTCAATTTTCTCATGTTGGGCCTTCAAATTTAGAGAAGGGAAATAAGTTAATCTGTTAATGCACACACTCCTATTATAATACCTTTATTGCAATGATTCCATATGAATTTCAAATAATAGTATCAACACTCTTTTCACTCAAATGGCTCATTTTATGGTATTTTGACATGCTAATTCCAAATTTGATGTCAATTTTTACATTAAAATTTGATGAAAAGTTTTTACAATTCTTCTCACCACCTCCCTTGCTTGTCTGTGTTCAGTCACTGTAGATTTTTGTTTATGGGTCCAGGGCCGCTCGGAGTCATTCACTTGCATGTCCTCAGTGTGTGCAGACACAGCTATTTGCCATAGGAGAGCTACTCTCATAGCCTGATACCTCTGATTGTTAATTAATTGAGGCAATAAGTAAAAAAAACCTCAATTAAAAAGTTTCACAAAACAAGCATGGAAAATCAAGTTTTTGTTCTTTTCCTATTCCCTTTTGTTTTCATTCTTTCACTCACTCATTCATTCAGATATAAGCCTTCATGGACCCCCTGTAACAATATTGCAGCCCCACGGGGTCCACGGACCACAGGCTGAGAACCACTGACTTATACTATGTAAGGTGAGAGTAGATTGAACTTTATATTGTTTTTGGCAATTTGATTCCAGAAAGTCAGCATTTCACAGTTGTGAAATATAATCTCTATAGCTTCTAAGCATGAAAGGATTGCTCTTCTAAAAATGAAGTAGCTACTTCAAATAAAAGCTCTTCTCAAAGTTCAGAAATATGCAGGTGTGTATTTGTTAAAGCTGCAAATTATCTAGATTAGCCATAGTCACACACTAATTGAAAAGATGCTATTTAACAAAAAGATGTCTAGCCAAAGAAAGAGGTTCCATTGTAATTAGGAAAACTGTTCTATCAGCCCTATCATTTAGCAATTAAATAAATTACACTTCTAAAATGTGCTTAAAATCTTAAACGTCTACATTATGATTCTACACCATTTTTCACAATAGAGGAAAATGAAACAGAAGTACTTAAATGATTGCCTAGCAATGAAGGAATCAGATAGGCCTGTGCTTACACAAGTGAACATCTGTGCTTAAAATGAAGAGATATATCTCTCCATCAAAAAAATACTCATAAAAGACAGCTTAATTTCAATATTGAATAGATTTTCAGACACAAAACCCAGATGTTTGCTGATTTAATCCAACATTAGTTGGTTTGGAAAATCAAAGCTGAATGTAGCAAACTGCCTGTTGCCATTGTATTACTATTAAACATAACAGTATGTCAGGAGGCTGGGAGATATTCTAGAAGACATTTAACAGAACTGTTTGGAATAACTAGCTAAGTAACTACCATAAAAATGAAAAAAAAGGTATGATTTCAGTGAAATCAACATTTCTTAGTAACAGCAAAGTAGTTACCCAAATTGATTGAACCTTGATATTAATTATATAAATAGAATGTTTTAAAAGAAGGATTATCTTTAGATCCAAGAATATTATTTTACTTGAAGAATGTGTTTCTTAATAAAATGATTCAGCAGGGTAATCGAATTTTTCTGATTGCTAATCTACATGTAATAGAAAGAGAGAGTTTTCCATTTTTTAATATTAGCTCTGTGAAGGGGCATGGGTAATCTGAATATATTCTGAAGGGGCAGAATATAAAGTCTAGTATCATATAATACCCTTCATACTTTACCTACTTTTGTATTACTTCAGTAAATTATTCTAGAATTTAACACAAAATCCTTTCTTTTTACTTCTAACTTAAAATTTTAGTATTTCATATTTAAAAGAACTAACCATCTTATAGTACTTATGTCTTCAGCCTTACTGAAGTTAACTCACCTTCCTCCTTCAAACTATACTAATGTAATGTACATGTAGAATTGGAATATAGCCTTCCAGTTTGCTAAGGGAGAGTAATATTTCCAGCTGAAAAAGGAGCAGCTTGCCAAGAGAGCTATTCAAATTATTCTTGTCACACATGACTTATAAGTGTTGTTTGGTAAATTTCTTGTGCTTTTCAGTAAGGCTGAATTAGCATATATAATACCCAGAAAACCTATAAGTAAATACAGTTGTTGCAACAGTATGTTATTATTATCTAATGGACCACAACATGGTTACTAGCAATTACCATTTTTTACTTCAAAGAATACAGAATGTAACTATTTGGGATCTTAAAAACTGAGAAAGAAGACATGCTACTACAGCAGTAGGCCACTGGTGGTCTTTCAGATGTTTTGCTCCCATCAGTCCTAGCTAGCAAGGCCAGTGGTGTTCTCCTACTTAATTATGGAACACTGCCTGTGGGGGAAAGCATGTCTTCCAAGATTAAGTAACACTATACCTTTGGAGTCTAGTCACTCTTTACAAGTGTAACAGTTGAATTAAACTTCAGATGTGCTAATACAGTGGTACCTCAGCTCACGAACACCCTGGCTCACGAACAAATCGGGTCACAAAAAAAAAATACTGAAAAATTTTTACTTGGGTCACGACCACCACTTTGGGTGGCGACCAAGATCGCAGCCCCCCCCCCCCCCCCCCCCCCCCGGAGGGGAGATGGCCACGATGGCAGTTCCATTCATGCAGGGAAGGCATCTGTGATCCGGGGCGCGCTGCTGCACTAAAGACGGGTGCAGCGAAGCAGAGCTTTGGGGCAGACTGCCGAGAATCTACTTGTCATTCGTGCAGCAGCGCGCCGCTGATCACAGATCGCAGTTGCTTTCGTGCAGGGAAGGCGTCCATGATCAGAGGCGTGCTGCTGCAGGAAAGACGGAAGCGGCAAAGCAGAGCCGTGGGGGAGATGGCTGAGATTTTGCCTGTCTTTCCTGCAGGAGCGCGCCTCTGAGCAGGCACACCTTCCCTGCATGAACAGAACTGTGATCCCGGCCATCTCCCCACCCCCAGTTTGTACCCATCTCTCCCTCCCCCAGTGCACCC